TTGAGTTTAAATTAAATATTATCATGTTTAAGGCCATGAATCTGAATTGAACAACCTGATAATGCTCACTCTGGTTATTGTTTCCGTTTTTAAAAGCGCTATATGTTGAGCCACCTCTTCCAGATTTGCCATGTGACATTTTTAGCAGCAATCATTGGTTGATTTTCTAAGGTTGCCATTCGGGGAGTTGTAATGAAGCTTTTTTTTTGGTGCCGTGTAAGAGAAATATATATATAGATATTTAAGAAATATAAATTTTATATTTATTTTTATGAATCAGGAAAATCAGTTTATTTGCTCTTTTTCGACTTCTTTTGTAACATTTTGGGATATTCTGGCATGCATGGGGTGTTTTCTGTATGTGAAATCCAGCAAAGACAGGGTAATGGAATAATAAAAAAAAATAATAAAAAAAAATGGCTCGAGAAAGGTTCAAATTTCAAGACCCCCAAGCTCCCTTTAATATCAAGGTATAATTTTCAAACTCGGGCCCTAAGTTGGGGTCTATGGTCCAAACAAGGCTGCCGAAGAGAATTTTTATAGGCCAATTAGGGGGATCACAGTGGGCCCTTAAAGGTATATTGCGAAGATGAGAGGAGAGAGCTTTTGAAGCGAAACTGTGGTAGGCTTCACGCATCACCGTGGACTGGAAGGTACGCCACCAGACAAGCAAGTGCACTGCTGGAGGGAGGAGTCCAGGGTTCAAATCCCAGGGACGGACAAATTTAAAAAAAAAAAAATTCTGTTTATTTTAAATTATATTATTTTTTTATGTGTTTTTCGATATTCTGGAGGGTCCTGCATGTAGGAAATAAAGTTTCTTTTTATTGGGAATAATTTTTATTTTATTGGAATTTCCCCATAGCCATCACGGTTCAATATATGCTCATGTGAAAGAATCGGTGACAAATTATAGCAACGAAATGTGTAATTCTGTATACATATTTCATTTTTACTAAATGCCGACCGGACTGGCCTTACATCAGAAAGGTTCTCAGTTCTAATACCGAGCAAGGTATGGATGATACTATCTATCCTTACTGTGGGAGCAACCTTGGTCCACCTAAAAGGGTGGCCCTGTAAATGCCTGAATTGACGAAATGTTAACACAGATGGGCATCGGAAGTAATAAAATAAAAGAATATAAAAATACTTTAAATTATTATTATGTGAATACATTAAAAATGCCTGCTAGTGAAAAAAAAAAAGAATTCTAAAAAAATTATCAAACAGTAGCTGTCGCCATAGCAAAGGCATACGCACTGTTTACTATTATTCTTGAATACAGTTGAAAAGTGTGATGACGTCCAAATAAGGTGAGCACGCTATCAAACCCAAAATAACACCCATTTTGCCAATCGGTAACAAAATGTTTTTATTAATTTGGATTTTAAACACATATTTTCAGTGGAACATATATATTTTATTTTTGTAAATTTGTTGGAGTGTTTTGAATGATAAACCAGGAGGAAGATATCTTTATTAATAATATCTGGTTCTGCTACTTTTTTCCTTCTCTGTGATTGGTACTGGGTGTCAAAATATTATTTAAAAAGTGTTAATTATGGTAAGTAACATCTTCTTTAAAAACTATTTTAACTTTAGTCACATTTTTTACAATTGCAGACTATCAAAACTGTTTTAAAATTACCATTTATATTGATAATGATTAAAATAAATAATGTTGCAAAGAAAATCAATTTTTCATTCAAATATTTTGTTAATACACGGGTGTAAGAAATTAAGAGCAGACTGGGTCGATTATCTCCAGAACTAGTGGTCCGATTCTAATGAAATTTGATATGTACCTACAATACAAAACAAATAACCATACAACAATTGTAATACATACGCATGATCGTTGGAGTCGGAAGGTATGAAACAGCAGTTGCAAAATAAAGAAAAACAAATACAAAATGGGTTAGTAGGGGGTATGGTCCCCTCTTACAGTTAAACAGGACTTACAGCGTGATTTCATACTTGAAATAAGGGAGTTTATCATTTTATGTGACAATTGTCCTGAGGCAAATTCATGTATTCCGACTCCAATGAGTGTTACACGCACGATCATGCGTGTGTGTCACAATTGTTGAATGTTTTGTATTCTATCAAAGTACGTACATACCAAATTTCATTAAGATCGGTCAAGTAGTTCGAGCTGGGCCGGATTTACGTATAAGCTAAATAAGCTGTAGCTTGGGTCCCCGAGATGGCAAGGGCCCCCAGATCCAACTTTTAACCCTCTCTTTTTAAAGTTTTATTCGGAGCTGGAGCCCTCTGAAGCCTAAATACATTTTTTTTTCTTTTTTACATTGGCGAACGCTTTTCNTCTTTTTTTAAAGTTTTATTCGGAGCCCTCTGAAGCCTAAAATACATTTTTTTTCTTTTTTACATTGGCGAACGCTTTTCAAAGTCTAATAGAAGTGTTTACAAATATAAAATAATTGTTACTCTTCGCTTTTTTTAACCAAAAGAGCAATAAAAGGGCCTTTTGACTGATGAAAATATCCTGTAGCTTTCGTAGCTACCAGTGATGGGAGTAGTCCATGGATCCTAAAAAGCGGTACTCCATGGAGTAGTCAAATAGCCGCTTCAATTTACACTGTGGGAAATGTTTTCAGCTTCTTTAAATTGCTGTGGGCTCTTTTGTCCACAGAAACACCCTTTTGTCTGATTTCTGGGCAAAAAATGTCTAGGGCTGTGGGAGAATCTTGTTTAGGGTCACTCTGTTTCGAGATTTCCGTTGTGTCTCATTGTCGTTAAAGAGCTTCTCGTTTAATTTTAACCAAGGGCGCCGGCAGGGAGGTGCAAGGGGGTGCGCTTGCACCTCCCTGGCTTTTTTTTTAAAAGATTAAAGAGATACAGAAAAACAATTTTGTTATACATTTTTTTTTTAAAAATATTTTTATTCAAAAACAAATAATTAAGTAATTATATTAAGTATATTAGTGCATAACAATTAAAAAAGTGTTTAATCAAACAAAACTTGCAATCGTCTTGTTTGCTGTCCAAATCTGTTTATAACTTTTTCAATGAATTCTGAGTCATCTTTGATTCTTTTCTTGTGCACATTGAGCATGCACAAACTACTTAATCTCTCGTGAGACTTTGTAGACCGATTCCATGTTTTGAATGTTGTTCCATGTTGACCGATTCCATGTTTTCCGTCGCATTGTACTAAAAGTGCGTTCAATAGTGCACGTAGTAGCTGGAGTAGCACGTAGCAGTTAGGCCAATTTTGATTACCTCCGCTAGAGTTGGATAAAACGGTGTGGTCTCAGTAACTAAATCGATGTATTCGAGGATAAGGGAGTAGGGTCTCCCCCTGGTTTAAGGGTATCTTCAAATTCACTGAGAAGTATGGAAATCCTTTGTCTTTGCTCTGGGGTCAGAGGCTCTCCTTCATTTTCTCGTAGTCTACATTCATTTGCCACAATGTTGCTCATGGATAAACTAGGTTTATGGATATCCTTCCGGAAATAGATTTTATGATGAGGTTCATCACCAAAGTGCCATCTTTTACGTTGGATATCTAGGACGATACCAGTCTTTTCTAGAAAATCATTCCCCAGTAGAGTTCTATTTCCAGTAGCCTCGGGCAGGGCTAACAGTTCATGATTGAATTTTCTACCTTCGATGTTAACCAGCACCTGGGTGGCGCATGCTTCAACTGCAGTCTGACTTCCATTAGCTAAAGTCATGACTACCTCTTTAGTTTGGAATTGGGCTCCTTTTTCTTTCAGCATCTTAAACAATGTCTCTCCAGCAATGGAGCAGGTTGCTCCTGTATCAGCACAAACTCTGGTGGGTTGCTCCTGTATCAGCACAAACTCTGACCTTGATGTCAGAAATCTCAACATCAAGCAGTGCTATGGGAGAGGAAGAAATATGACAAGCGTGCAGATTGATAGCACTTGCACAAACATTTGGAGAGAAGGTAGGGCACTTTGCCTTGCCGTATCCTTGCCTTCCACAGCCATAGCATGTTAACTTTGGTTGAAGTTCAAAATTTTCCGGCCTAGAACGTTCTTGAAAATTCGGTCTTGTATCAGGGTATCCCCTTCTACTTTGTTTCGAATATCTTTTATTTTCAACTCGGGCAGTGGAGCTTGAAGCGGCTGGTTCCCTCTTCACTCTTACAGCTTCATAGTCATCAAGCCGTTTGACGAGCCCTTCCACAGTGTTCAACTGGCACCACTCATCAATAAAATGATCTTTTACATCTGCTGGCACTTTGCGTTTAATTTGGTCAGATATGATCAATTCTCCTAACTGACTAAAAGTGGTTATTTCCAANAAGCCCTTCCACAGTGTTCAACTGGCACCACTCATCAATAAAATGATCTTTTACATCTGCCGGCACTTTGCGTTTAATTTGGTCAGATATGATCAATTCTCCTAACTGCTTAAAAGTGGTTATTTCCAAACCACTAACCCAACCTTGGAAAAAGTTCCTAAGTTCATAGGCAAAATCTTGCCAAGACGATGAGTTAGTCCTATTATGTTTCACAAACAGCTGACGGAACTTTTCCGCCGTCAATTTAAACCTTTTTAGAAGTAGTAGTTTTACTCTGTCATAATCGCTAGCAACATCGTCACTCTCTCTTGCAATTAGCTGCGCAACATCATAGGGCAGCAGTCCAATAAGATTGGATGCCCAAAATTCCTTAGGAACTTCACTGAGTTGAGCTTGGCGCTCAAATAGTACTAAATACAGGTTTATGTCATTATTATTTGGATCAAATCGGGGCATTAAGGACAACAAATCAATCACAGGTTTTCTTCGGAAACCATCAGTATTGGTGGAGGGTCCACACTGTCTTGCCTCTATCTCGAGTCTAATCTTTTCCAGTTCCAATTTCATTTGCTCTGTCTTGATTCTTTCGTTGCTCTCGATGCTGGCCTTTTCTAACCCAGCAGCTCTCTTTTTCTCCTCAGCAGCATCCTGTCTTTGGGAAATGATCGTGTTGAGCATTTCTTTTACAAACTCCTCTTCATAGTTATCACTAGAGGTAATAACTTTCTTCAAATCAATGATTTTTAAATCAGGGGTGACATCTTCACCCAACTCACTAGCAAGGAGAATTAAATCCTCCTTACGAGCTTTTCCAAAGAACGTCATCTTTCAATAAACAAAAGAAGATGGTTCTATTTTTAGAGCACAGATTATAAATGTGAATACAGGGGCAATTCTTGCACAAGGGCACACTTTGTATGTAAACACTGGGACGATTCTTGCACAAGGGCACACTTTAGATTGGTAACACTTAATGTAAACACTGGGGCGATTCTTGCACAAGGGCATACTTTAGATTATTAAAATAATACTGTAATTGTTATGGCAAAATGATCTTAGAGAGGTAACTTTTATAATACAAAATTTAATCAGAATTATTTTAGTAAATATAATACCTTAATCACATAAATGAAATACATGAGCACTTTTTAAATTATTAACCAGTTATAAAACATTTCTAATAAACATATATAGGTAATGCAAGTAAGCAAAATTATTTTAAAATAGATTACTTAAAACACTTAAATAACAACACAATTACTGATTAAGTATTCTTATAAATTGAGAGCAATAAAACAAATCAAAATATTTATGTTAAATCATTGAAAGAGCTGTAAAAGTTATTTCAAACCACCGAAGAAACATTTTTCTCTCCCCAAAGGCGAAAGAAAAAAAAAAGAATCACAGTTATTCAATGTCAACAACACNAACAAATCAAAATATTTATGTTAAATCATTGAAAGAGTTGTAAAAGTTATTATTTCAAACCACCGAAGAAACATTTTTCTCTCCCCAAAGGCGAAAGAAAAAAAAGAATCACAGTTATTCAATGTCAACAACACGAACAAAACAAAAAACACACACGCACAGCTGCAGCGAGCGGAAGAAGAAACCAAATAAAAAGAAAAGACCGTTGAAGAACGATCTTTCGAGTGACGCTATCACACACAAAATCGGATTATCGGGGATCCGGGCCNCAATTCTTGCACAAGGGCACACTTTGTATGTAAACACTGGGACGATTCTTGCACAAGGGCACACTTTAGATTAGTAACACTTAATGTAAACACTGGGGCGATTCTTGCACAAGGGCATACTTTAGATTAGTAACACTTAATGTAAACACTGGGGTGATTTTTGCACAAGGGCACACCTTAGAGAATTAAAATAATACTGTAATTGTTATGGTAAAATGATATTAGAGAGAGAACATGTATAGCATACTTGTATAGCATACTTGACAAACTTTTACAATACAAAATTTAATCAGAATTATTTTAGTAAATATAATACATTAATCACATAAATGAAATACATGAGCACTTTTTAAATTATTAACCAGTTATAAAACATTTCTAATAAACATATATAGGTAATGCAAGTAACCAAAATTATTTTAAAATATATTACTTAAAACACTTAAATAACATCACAATTACTGATTAAGTATTTTTATAAATTGAGAGCAATAAAACAAATCAAAATATTTATGTTAAATCATTGAAAGAGCTGTAAAAGTTATTATTTGAAACCACCGAAGAAACATTTTTCTCTCTCCAAAGGCGAAAGAAAAAAAAATCATAGTTATTCAATGTCAACAACATGAACCAAACAAAAAACACACACGCACAGCGGCAGCGAGCGGAAGAAGAAACAAAATAAAAAGAAGAGACCGTTGAAGAACGATCTTTCGGGTGACGCTATAATTATAATTTGTATTTCTGTGATTTTTAAAAATCACACCATGATTTGTATTTATGCTATTTAAAAATCACATCGCGATTTGTATCCTTGTGATTTAAAAACTCCAGAGTGCGATCAATATTCATGTGATTTAAAAGTCACACATAACAATTTTTTTTTCATAATTAAAAAATCATCTTCCTAATCCTCATTCCTGCGATTTAAAAATCCCTCATCATGATCTACATTTGTGTGATTTAAAAAATTGCACATCATAATGTATATTTGTGCAATTTAAAAATCACACATCATGATTTGTTTGAATACCACAGTGCAATTTGTTTTCGTGCGATTTCAGAATTCCCACGATAACATCCATCTTGGTGCAATTTAAAAATTACTACTCTCGAACCTCATTCCTCTCATCTAAAAAAATTACACATATTCCATTTTAGTGCGATTTAAAAAATCACACATCAAGATTTTTATTCACTTAAATTAAAAATCTCACACCATGATCCGCATATGTGTGATTTAAAGATGTGAATGCTAAATCACATTTTAGCATGTCATAAAAAATATTTATCACCAATAATTATGAAATAGTAATTTATTTAATCCTTTTAAATAAAATAACTCTCACATCAATGAATTCCGACATTACATTTCGGAATCGTTATTAGTCTATGCACAGAGAGTCACACGTGAAAAAAAATTACAATCATATTTATAGTCACTACTGAGAAACTAATTTTTTTTTAACCAATCAGGAGTACTCCAATTTTGTAAGAAATTAAAATTTATAAGAAATTTGTTTATCCTTTCACAAAAGAATCACCAATTTGATCGTATTTCATAAAATTTAAAGAACCTCATATTGATATTTTTAATCAAAATACTTAAAAAATAACACATCATGATTTAGATTTGCATGATTTAAATATCAGATATCACGATTCGTATTTCTGCTAATAAAAAAAATCGTAAATCAAGATGCAATTTATTATATAAACAATTTATTATCAGTATGTCAACGTGAATAAATTTTTGCTAGAACTATTTTTGACAATGTTGATTTTGGCTTAAAAATTTTTCACCTTAATACTTTTTTATGTTTAAAATTTGAAATGTATTTTTAAAATTTAATTTGTATTTTATTTTGATTTCATTTGATATAATTAAAGTAAGGCTTAAAATATTTTTATTTAACATTAATTTCATATTTATTCTCTATTTGATGTAAGCATCTCTTTCTCACCACACACATATATATATATATA